TAAGGCAATAAAAACGTCAAAAAAAAGTCATATTTTAGTAAGGCATAAAAACGTCAAATAACGTCATAGTATAGTAAGGCATAATAATATCAAAAAACATCACAGTATATTAAGGCATAAAAACGTAAAAAAATGTCATAGTGTAGTAAGGCATATAAACGTCAAATAAAGTCATAGTGTAGTAAGGCATAAAAACGTAAAAAAATGTCATAGTGTATAGTAAGGAATAAAAACGTCAAATAACATCATAGTATAGTAAGGCATATAAAGGTCAAATAAAGTCATAGTGTAGTAAGGCACAAAAATATCAAATAACGTCACAGTATATTAAGGCATAAAAATATCAAAAAAGATCATAGTATAGTAAGGCATAAAAACATAAAAAAACGTCATAGTATATTAAGGCATAAAAGCGTAAAAAAATTTCTTAGTATAATAAGTTATAAAAACGTCAAAAAATATCATAGTATAGTAAGGCATAAAAACGTCAAATAACGTCATAATATAGTAAGGCATATAAACGTAAAAAAAACGTCATAGTGTAGTAAGGCATAAAAACTTCAAAAAATGTCACAGTATAATAAGGCATACAAACATCAAAAAATGTCATAGTATAGTAAGGCATATAAACGTAAAAAAAACGTCATAGTATAGTAAGGCATACAAACATCAAAAAATGTCATAGTATAGTAAGGCACAAAAATGTCAAAAAAATGTCATAGTATAATAAGGCATAAAAATGTCAAAAAACGTCATAATATAGTAANTAGTATAATAAGGCATAAAAACGTCAAATAACGTCATAGTATAGTAAGTTATAAAAACATCAAAAAACGTCATAGTGTAGTAAGGCATAAAAACATAAAAAAAATGTCACAGTATAGTAAGGCATAAAAACGTAAAAAAACGTCACAGTGTAGTAAGGCATAAAAATATCAAAAAACGTCATAGTATAGTAAGTTATAAAAACATCAAAAAACATCATAGTATAATAAGGCATAAAAACGTCAAAAAACGTCACAGTATAGTAAGGCATAAAAACATAAAAAAACATCATAGTATAGTGAGGTATAAAAATGTAAAAAAATGTCATAGTAAAAAATAAAAGTTTCAAATAAATTCCTTTTATTTTTTTCATTCATAGTACAGTAATATATAAAAACATCATAAACAACACAACAAATTAGAGAATGGACACAACAGGTTGATCAGAATATTTATTATAAAAACGCATAAACCAAGGAGGCAAATACAAATATGGAGTGTGTCAGTCAGTAATATCAGTGATGTGAATGTGTATGTGTGAATATAATGTATTGTAGGATGTTGTGAAGCAAAACGAAAACAAAAGCAAAACAGAAGAAAACATGTTGACGCTGGCAGGGATGAGTCCAGGTGATCCAAGTCATGCTGCTGTGATCACCTCCTTCTGTTCAACAAGCACATCAACCGTCCACGACAACTACATTTAGGCAAGGACTGTCACACGTCATAAAAATGTCATAGTATCATGTTAGAAAAAATGTCATAGTATTGTATATCATAAGAAATGTCATAAAAAGTTCATAGTACAGTACGTTATAAAAAGTTTGCACGGTGGCTATGAAGTAGCAATAAATGTTAACAAATGGTAAATTTCAACATCGTCTCTTTATTACATTACACAACTGAGTTGTTTTTAAAAGGTTCTTGTGAAATCTTTTCTATTTTTCTGAATTGTATCTCTTCAAACGTTCAAATGACAATAGAAAACTCTTGTTAAAGTGCTCACCTTGAAGAAACTGTGGTAATGTATGGAAGTAAAAGCTGTGTTTTTTTTGTTTGTTTTATTTTTAAAACAAATGGAACCATTGACGGTGTTATTTTTACATGTCATGTTGTTCACTAGCCTTTAAAAAATAAATTCAAGGTAGAATCATTAGAAACGTTTCAGTTTAATATATTAGAAAATATTTTTGTCAACATATTTAAGTCTGAAGTTTCTCAATAATTAATAATAAAAAAAAAAAATCCAGTAATTGTGGGTCTGTAGTGTTAAACTGACTGAAGGTCACGAAGCCTCTTCACTGTAATATTGTAATACACGCTGACGTTCTGTTCAACTCCGGCAAATTTTTATTGTAATGTTCTAAAAGTCATAAAACTTATGTTTTGTTGAACACTAACACAACACTGACTAAAAACAAACAAACAAACAAACAAACAAACAATCAAACAAACAAACAAACAAACAAACAAACAAACAAACAAACAAACAAACAAACAAACAAACAGTACCTAATGTGGATCCTTGTGGATTTAAGGCAGATGTCTGATCTATGTGTAAAGTTCTGTTCTGGTTCAGCTGATGCATCAACAAAGAAAATATAAAAATATAAAAGTATTCATCTGTCCACATCATTACAGGTCTCAGACCAACAGACAAAATCTTCCACATTTTCTTATTAAACTCTGACAGAAAAACTTTTGTTAACTTTGAATGATAAAACGTCTGATTTTGGTTAATCAATCTAGTGAATTAAATATCTAACAAATAAAAGCTTGAGTCTTGTTACAAATCAGTCCACAGTGAAGAAACATCAGAGAAACTTTAGTACGAACAGTATTAAAAATATTCATATCATTATATTGACCAACCAATGTGCTCAGGAGGTTTTCTGACAGTCTGACCTTTAGATTTTTTTTCTATTTGTGCAGAAAGAAAATGGTTCAGTCCGATGAAAACCACAAAGTCGTCCTCTGAGAAACAGATTTCATGGACGTCTGGTCAGAACTTTCTCACTTTGGAAAGTTTTGGAAAAACAGGAGGATCGACAGACAATAAAACACAAGTAGAAAAAGATTTAAAAAATAGAAAAAATAAAATGTCCATTCCCAGAGGACGAGTGAGAGTCTGGATCCAGGTCTGTGACGTGTTGGTCTGCTGGTTCAGGGTGTTACCTGTCCAGGTGGGCAGCGGGAGCCGAACACCGCGTGGAAGTGTTCGATGAGGAGCTCGGTGAAGATGTTGATGGGCGTCAGAGCGGAGAGAGAGATCGACCCGTGGCGAGGCCAAACCAGGTTCACCCCGAACACACAGGCCAGGTTAGACGGACTCATCTTGTTCACAATGCTCTCCGTAGACACCTGAGACGACCAATCAGAAAGGGTTTCATGATTTAACTACACTGAGACGACCAATCAGAGAGGGTGTGAACTGGTTTCTCTGGTTTGAACACACGATTGACTCACCATGTGCAGGAAACACAGCAGGTACTTCACCACGATGAAGTGATGCTCGGGAAGACTCTCCATGATCTGTTTACACCTGGTCGCACGGAGACTGCTCTCCACACCTGAGACAAGACAAACCATCAGTCACGGTGGGAAACGTTCATCATCATCATCACCATCCTCCTCCTCCTCGTGTGTGCAGGACTCACTGAGGATCTCCTGGACCTGGTTGTAGACTCTGAAGGTGAGCAGAGGTTCAGGCAGCTCTCTGAGAAACGTCTTCAGGATCACGGCGGGAACGTGGACGTCACCGACCTCATCGAAGTTCACAGGCTTCCCTGAAACAAAATACACAAAATGAGCTTTATTTAAAGCAGGTTTCATTAACGAGTTTACACAGCGAAACATGAAATTATAACAAAGATCAAAGACAAACACACAGTTCTTTTTTAACTGAAGAGAAGCTTAAATTTGTCCTGAAGTTGATTCTACAACAAAAGTCATAAAGTCGCAGGTTTGATCTGAGTTTTAATGTTTAGTTTTAACTACTGACAGTTTATTTCTTGTGTCTGATTAAAACTCAACAATAATTTACTTCTTTTTTCTAACATTTGTTCAGCAACTGTCACTGATCCAAATCATCACCGTCGTTAAAGGAACACTTTTAATTATCTATTAATACTTTCAGTCATTTTTCAAATAAAAAAAACTTCTGTAAACTAGAAACTGAACCATCTGAGTTTATTAAACTGTTCAGACAAAATAAGCAGTTGTTCACTTTTAATCTTGTTCGGATGAAACTATGAGGTTTTGCATCAAACAACAGACGAATGGAGTAGAAGTGGATTAAGCTGCCTTGGTTAGTTCAGGTCTGTATTTGGACTCTTAATTGAATCTGATTGGATGAGGACAGATCTCCTCGTCCTAGAGTCCAGTCAGGATTTAACGTCCAAACTGTCTTCAGTCAGTTTTGCTGTTGAGTTTAACTTTGTGGCGTCAGATCGAGACAGAACTCACCCAGACGTCCAGTGATTTATTGTCATGAATGTAAAACGATAATTGGTCTTTTCACTCCAGCTGAAACAAACAGAGACTCGTCTCCTCTGTGTCTTGTCTCTAACGAGCTCCACACAGTTTCCATCAGGGTTTTTCAGAAACGTTGTGACAGTTTTGGATCCAAGATTCAAGTTTACAGTTTGAAACTCAGAGGTTTGGTGGATTCCTTTAAACCTGCACCAGGGTTGGTCCTGGTCCAACCATAATTGGACTATAATTGGACCGAGTCCAGGACACATCTAATGGTCTCTCCTCTCTCCAGCTGAAACGACACAAACAGAAGTCCTGTCCTCTGTGTGTGAGACCGAGCTCTAATGAAGTCGACTGAACGGACCCCGACTCGGCCGACAGTCTGATGCTATCTGAGCTGCTGCGCACGCTTTATTGATCTCCACTTCCTGGTGCTGCGAGATAAAAAGAGAGACCCCACTCACCCAGGTTATAGAGTTTCTGAACGTCCTTGATGAGCTGAACTCGAGCCGAACGCCTGAAGAGTCCCTCAGTCCTCAGACCTGACACAGAGATCTGAATCAGAGACGAACACTACGACTCGTAGCACAGAACAGTCAACGCAAACTGAAGGAAGCTGCAACATGAAACCATGGAAACCACCAGAGGAAAGATGGTCAGCACAGGGAGAACCTGCAGTTTGTTACCTGCTGCAGGTGAGAAACAACCTGTCCACCTGCATCAAACTGCCCTGAGTGACACATTCAACAATTTAAACATACAAGGATCCTCCGACTTCATTTGTATTCAGACACAGACCTAATGAGATGTCATGCTACACAAAATATAAAGTGTCATGAACGAATGAAATCACCACAGCTCTGTAAAAAAATACAAAAAAAAAAAAAGTACTTTAAAAATACAAAAAGCAGAAAAAAAAGCAAAACAGAAAAATGCTTAAAAACATGCTGAAAAATTCCCTCTGTGTAAGATGGGCGTCTAATAAAATGTTGGTACTGTTTAATCTTCTGGACATTTATTCACCTTTATTGTTTTTCTCTTTTCCTGCTTTTCCAAACTGATCCTGTAAGTTCATCAGGTAAATTACAGGAAACAGAATACTTTGTTCATTTAATAAGAGTTAGCTGAACACTCACCTTTCTCCTTCAGGTAGGTGACGGTCTGATGGATCACAGGTGGGATTATCGCCCCCCTGTTCTTCTCTCTGATGCTGCCAAACAAACAGGTTTGATCGATCGATCTGAAACTGTTCAATCATGTGAATATATTACGAGTGAACATCAGTGAACAGACTCACTACTGCAGACTGACACCAAACTGCTGGGTGGGCAGGGGGGGTCGGGGCGGGGGGGTTTTCACTGAGGGAGGGGGTCCGCCTTTCTGAGCCGCTCGTAACTTTTCATCATGTCTGTGAAAACAACACAAGAACAAATCAGCTGATTAAATTCATTCAAACAATTAAAATCTATTTATACAGAATGTTTCATACAAAAATACAGACGTGAAAAATCATTTTAGATTTTAAAAATGAATAAAATGAACAGTGAATAAATATTTAACACTGTCAAGTTTAATAAAGTCTATGAAGTCTTCACAGATGTTCTGTGGTCAGTTCTGCTTCTTCCTCCATCATTCAGATCTTTGACGGAGGGTTTGTCATAGTTTCACTCTTTACAAACTCTGTTCTTGGGGATCTTTGTGATAGAGTTCCTCTCCTGCCGAGCTTCTGGGAGTCTTAAGAAGGAACATGTGTAAAACAATCTACAATAAAGACATTCACTGTCAGTGACGTGTACCTGAGGACATCAGGGGGGATGATGAGCTGCTCGTAGTTCAGGTGATCTCTGAGCTCGTCCAGGTAGTTCACATACGTCAGCTTCTTCCCAAACTTGTGGCTGGAGAAGAAGGAGAAGAAGAAGAAGAAACTGTTACTGCACCTGAGGACGGCTCAGACCTGATCCATCAGGTGAGTCTGAGGTTTTTACCTGATCAGAGGTTTGAAAATGTTCCACACGATTCTGATGAAGTTTGTAGGATGAACGACGAACAGAGTCTTCAGGTTCTTCTTGTATCTGAAACAACAAGTAGACGATCAGTAAAAACACAGATACACAGGAAGGTTCACACGGAGAGCAAATACTTTCCAGTCCTTTAGAGCAGCCGAGTAAAAACGTACAGAGAAAGTGTGATCTCATATAACCTGAATATCTGTTAAAGAACTTGTAAGAAAAATATGATTCAAGAAAAAAATTAAATAAAATGCATCTTTGTTCCGTATTTGTTGTATGTGGAAAATAACTGAATTTTTTACCTTGAGATATCAACATAAAATATGAGTCAGCTGCTGAAAATTCACTTTTATTTCACTGTTTATAAATCGTTTTGTCACTTTTTGCAACAATGGCGATTTAAAAAACAAAACCTGCCACATGATGCGGGAGGTTACCATGACAACCTCAGTTATAAGCGATGTGGATGGAAAGTGAGGTGACGTACTTCCTGTCGAACTCGCTGTAAGCTTCTCGTAGCCACTTCAGAGACGGTTTGTTGCTGCTCTTCAGACCATGATGGAAGTAAACCAGGATGTAGTCCATCTCCACGTACTGGTCCAAGGTGAACTTCAGGTACCTGCAGCAGGGAGAGGACCAGGTGTTTAACACTCTACTGCGTCAGACATATAGGGTATGAACCAGGACGGACTGTGACGTACTGCAGCAGGCGCTGGTGGTTCAGCTGGTGCGACGGAGGCAAACAGCAGCTGCTGAAGATGATCAGCTTCCTGCCGTAGTTGTCGTCACCTGGAGACAAAACACAAGTTCAGTTTAGCAGAGAAAAAAGAAAGTTTGTTTAAATGAATTTTTCAATGTAAACTGTAATTAAAACTAACAGAATGAAGTTTGTGTTTTAGATGTGATGAGTTTCTAACAGTAAAGCACAGTATGGTACAATAACATTATCACTGAGGTTCTCGCTATGATTTGATGATGTTTTCTTTATTAATAATCTAAAACTTCAGATGTGCCAAAGGAAAGAGGAGAAGTTTTAACCAGAATATTCTTGGAATATTTTTTTGAAAACTGATTAAAATTATGAAGCAATTATCAAAATAGTTGCTGATAAATTTCCTGTAAATCAATCAATCAATTGACTGATGAGTGCAGCTCCAGAACCTGAACCTAGAGACTCGCTGATGTTCAGCAGAATGAGATCAGCTACTGACCAGAGACCTGGATGATGCCGTGTCGAGCCACATCGTAATACGGGTGGGAGGAGTCAGAGCTGACGCTGCTGCTCGGAGGAGCTGATGGACGGTCTGTGACGGACCTCTGAACCTCCTCATCCTCCTCCTCTTCCTCCTTCTGGAGTTCTGTCAGAGTTAAAGAAAAAACTGAGGTTTAAATTAAAGCTCAGTTAATCCAAGTTTAGATTAATCATCAGTTAAATCAGGTTTAAAATAAACCTCAGTTGATCCAGGTTGGCAGCAGGTTTAAGTTAAACCTCAGAAGCAGTGCCCCCTACAGGACGTTTGGCAGATTTCTACAGGAAACAGTGACCTGTTCAGACTAAACCATACGAGTCCATTCACACTAACCTCAAAGTATTTCACATTTTTACATGATGTTTAATTTAAAACACAGAGACATAAACAGAAAAAAGAGTGATCTAAGGCAGTGACATCAGCTCCACCACAGACTCCTGCTCCACACCACCTACACTCTCTAAATGACTTCCTTATCTGTTCCTCAAAATACTGATTATCAGACAGAGAGAGAGACCACACTGGAGCAGAGCCAGAGAATGACTGGAAGTGGGAGTTGAGTCTGTGCTTTCTGCAGCTGAGGGAAGTTTTTCTATAAACACACGGAGGAAATGACCTGCTCTCAGGGAACGGACAAAAGACTAAAAGGAGTTCAGTTCAGAGACGCAGCAGCAGAAGAAAAACTCGACTGAGGCTCAGAGTAGAGTTCAGTTAACATTTTCTATTTGAGGTAGAGGTGAAGAATAATAAACAAAAAATACAGTCACCATGGAAACAAGTCCCCAAGAGGCCTCTGTAAAAACATGCAAGTGCAAATGTGACTGCACAAAATATTATATAATAAAAGTACAGCTTTAAAATGTAATACAATGTCTTATATTTTATATATGTATGTAAAATAAAAGTGCATACATACAGATTTTAAACTAAAACAATGCAAATGCTCATGTCTTATTGTGTCGACCTATTTTTAAGTCAAAAATAGCATCACTGATTTAAATACACGACCTATAACCCTAAGCACTTTAACCCAAACCTAACCCTACACAATAAAAGCAGCCGTCGGTTGAATGCTTTTAATGTGAAGCTGCAGCAGTAAGAAATGTTTGGAATATAATAACAGGAATTTAATTAAGGCTGCAACTAATGATCATTTTCATTATTGACTCATCAGCTGATTACTTTCTTAATTAATCAATTATTAATCTTGAAACTCCTCAAACTAAAATATGATGAAACAATGTGCATAAATAAATAAATAAATTCATATAAGTTCAGTTTTTTTGGATCACACTGACTCATTATTATAAGATCATCACTAATCTGTGGTTAGTTTGAAAGTATTTAGTGAACTGGGTGTTTCAGTGTAATTTAAGGAGGGTCTCATCCTGCAGAGTCTTTAATGATGTCGAAATCATTTCCACAGAAAAACACTGAAGTAATTAACAATGTAAACAAGGAAGTGACGGCAGAGAGTTTTAACTCCCCGGGCTGCAGAGTGAAGAGTGAAGTTCAGCACCAGTGTGTTGGTAAATGCTGCTATTTTTATACATCACTATAATAAATTTCAATTAATCAGAATGTTTTTGATAATTAATTATTATTAGAAATTTAAGTCATTTTTTAAAGAATAAATGTTCCAGCTTTTACAGTGTGAAGATTTTCTGATTTTCTCTTGTTTCATTTTGAATATTTGATTGTCTGGTATTTTATAAACTGGATTAATCAAGGAAAGAAATCTTCACATTAATCAGTTATGTAAATTATTAGTTGCAGCTGGAAACACGAGTCCTGAATAAAAACCAGAACAAAGTTGAATCTTGATTTGAATAAAAATGATCAAATAATAAGTTACTATTACAACAACATCCAGGATTCGACCGCAGAGATAGTTCGTTCAAGATGGTGAGACAGAAGCTCACATATTAAATTATATCTAATATTGTTTGTATAATGTTAGTACTACAGACTCCTGTTCTCACACAGATACTGAAGTAAAAACTACTACAAACAGACACAAAACTACTACAAACAGACACGAAACTACAATGAAGAGACGTAAAATTACCACAAAAATGAAAACAGACACAAGATGTTTGTGTCAGTGTGAATGAGGATGTCTCGTGCTCAGGTTAAACTCACCTATTTCTGCGAGCTGCTCCAGGTCAGATGATGACGTCATCTCTGTGATGGACGTCAGTCTTCATGGAGGGAAAAAGAGAAACATGTCGAATCAACAGGCAGGAGAGAAGGTGACATGAATGAATCCAGATTAAAGCAGGTGTTTCTGACGTTACGGCGGTTTATCAGCAGGAGAAAGAGACTTTAATAAACTCTAAGCTGAGTTACAACACGAGCTGACAAACACACACCGACACACAGGCTGCTGGGAGTGAAAGCTGCTCGGTACGATGCTGCAATTAGCACCTGAGAACACCTGAGCGGTTAAATTAAAGCTGAAAAACCGCGTTTATCACACACGCACGACACAAACACACGGTTATATCTCATCTCTCCACCCGCCGAAGCTTCGTGTGTCATTTACGGAGGTTAACGAGGAGATACGAAGAGGTACGAAGCGGGAAAACACTCACCTGTAACTGTAGCTGAGCTAATGGCTAGTATTAATAAACACGAGGGAAAGTAGAGCCAAACTTCCTCAATCGACCCCGGCTGGATGACGGACTGCGCATGCTCAGTGCAGAGTCACAGAGAGGTGAATGAAGAACTCAGATCTTTCACTCTTTTAATCCATAAGAGGAAGTTTTCAAATAATAAATCATTCTTTCCTGGTTTCATCACACAGACATTTAACATTCTACCTTAAATTTACTTTATGTTTTTTTTTTAAATATATTTTTTAAAGTTTCCTTTTGTTCTTAAACTGTATATTTATTTACACATCTGCTTGGCCTGATAAACTATTAACTGTGTCCATTCCTGTTCATATATTTATAATGTTCCTACACATTTACAATAAAAAAAAGAAAAACCCAAGACCTTTTACTTAAATAAAAACATGTAGAAATACTCTGTAAAATACAAGTAAAATACTGCATTACTTAAGTAAAAGTACAAAAGTATCAGCATCAGAATTTACCAAAAATGTATATATTTAATATTTATACTTTCTTATTACTTTTATTTTACCAAAAGTAAAAGCACTCATTACACATGATATATTAATTGCATCATTAAATTGGTGATTCATTAATGTTTTAATCACTTTAAAGTTGCAGCCAGTGAAGGTGGAGCTGATTTTAATTTACTGTTTTCTTCTTGAAGTACTCAAAACTTTAACTTAAACACAGACAATGTAGAAATAGAACATAAATAAGTAAAGTACTACAAAAAAAGTAAAAAGTATTTGCATCAAAATTCACTAAAATTTTACTTGTATATATAATAATTATACTTTATTTTTACTTTTATTTTACCAAGATTTTACCAAAAGTAAAAGCACTCATTACATCAACACATTACGGAGCATCATTAGACTATTGATTGATTAATTCATGTTTTAATCACTTTAATGTTGCAGCTGATTCTAATGACTATATACTGATGGACAGCTCATGAATTTAATTATAATTATACTTTTCTATAATAACACATCAGAATTAATTTTTTGATTATATTTTGTTTTATTACTCTGAAAGTCTAAGACATGAAGTGCAGTAAAAAGGTTCAATATTTCCCTAAAAAATATAGAAAGTAACAGAAATTGGAAATACTCACTGTTGTATTTATGTTTTATATGTAAAATATTTATTTAGAAAGTTTGAAAATAGAAATGTAACGAGCAGAACTGAATTACTTTGCACCACCGTTCAGATACGTCTAACACGGACAGTTCAGATATTCATCTGACTCCAGTTTGTTTATTTCCTGGTTTTATTATTATTCTGACGACGTCTCACCTGCAGTGACTCAGCTGAAAGAGTGACAGCTCTGTGAAGCGAACACTTCACCTGAGACTCGTCTGTATCAGTGAGCAGCAGAGCTGAAGCTTCACGGCGGCTTTAAGATGAAAAACTATGAATTTTGTATTAAAAACCTGTTTTTTTTCATTTCAGGAAAGAAACACGGTGGATTTCAGGAAAAAGTGTTTTTTGTTATTTATAAATTGTATTATTTTCCACACAGGTGTATATCCAGCATTCAAATGATAAAATACAAGAGGACAAATATTAATGTAAAGACTATATTTAAAAAAGTGACTAAATGAAACAGTTCAAAACACTTACTGTGTGTTGAAAAGTTTCTTTGTGACTTTTGTGCAGGTTTGATTAAAATACATTTTGTGTTTTTTTTCCTACATTGATTCCTTACATTTATTTATATTATTATTTATAAAGGACAGGAGAAGTTGTGCTGATGCATGGGACAGAAAACATTATTAATACCTTTGAAAATCACTATAAAAACAGCAAAAAAAGAAAAATCTTTGTTGGACCTGTTGATGGCTTGGTGGATTCTGGACTATCACTCACTTTTATTGTGATTCTTACATAACATCAGTTTAGTGACGGAAATATATATTTTTTCTAATCTGTTAAATTTGGAACAATATGTTTTATAAAATCAAGATAAAATCCTGTTCACTGCTGTAATTATCCACAGAGATGACGCAAATTTCACCTGACTGTCAGGTGACAGTGAGTCTTTCCATCAGCCAGTGAGGATGTATATTTTCTTTACAGTCGGAGAACAGGAGGAAGAAAGTAAAAGGAGATTAGAGAGAGAGAAAATCAGAAGTCACAGGTTCGCTCTTTCTCTCAGCGTCGTGTCTCAGATCAGCTTTCGCTCAAGGCGCAGAGCAAATCTGTCTTCACATCACATTAACGTTCAGATGGAAAAGGTGTGTGACGTGAAAGGAAAATACACAAGGATGAGTTCAGGTCAGGTTGGTGTAAAGTTGTGAAAGCCTGACATCTGCTGGACAGAAGGGAGGCCCTGCAGCAGCTCAGCAGCCAAATGAATCTGGATCCACTGTGAAGTCTGCCGCCTTCATAAACCCAAACAGCTGCTCCAGCAAACTGAGTCTGTATCACATTTCATTTACTACCAGGATTCACAAACTGTCCAAAGAATCTCACACATTTCCAGAAACTAGAGAAAAAAACCTCTGTGTAAAAACTACAGATTTTAACTCTCCAGCTGCTGCATGATGATGTTTGTCGCTAAGAGAATTAATTTGTCACTATTTTCTATTTTTATAGTTTTTCCTTTAGTTATGCCAGTCATGTTGTTTTTTCACCTGCATTTTCATGCACCTTTCTTTGTTTTAATAGCTTCTAATTAGTAACCAGATATTGGTAAGATAAGAAAAGATGAACCTTTATTGATCCGTCACAGAAATTCAAATTTGACGCAGCAGCACAAAAGGAAAATGTAATAAGAAATAAAATAAGAATAGAAACAGAGTCTAAAATAAATGAGAGATGAACTAGAGATACATTATACAATAAAATAGATAAATAAATAATAATACATGTAGCATTTGCAACCCTTTGCTCTATATATTTATTATAGGTATGAACATTGAAAAGTATGTCTGAGATTTTAGTTTCATTTTGACCTTGAAAACATCTGTTTTATGGTCTATTTAGCAGCTTTCAATCACTTCCTTGGTCAAGAGTTCGCATAAAATTATTGTAACACAAATAAATATGATGCGAACAGCATAAACAGGCTAAGACAACTATCACACACAGTGTAAACCATATCCTGTTAGGATGTATGATGGAGGAGTTTCTGAAAATATGAATAAAACAAGACAAAACAATAAATTAGAAGATAAAACTTTGACCAAAAGTACTGAAAATTGTTACAAGCTAATTGTCCTAGAAGCACAAATTTGTATTTTTAAGTGAAATCAACATTTTGAATTGAAATCTTGCTCCATTATATTCTACTTTATGCTTTATTCTTTAAATTTTTAATTAGTAATTAGCTTCACGTGTTCACTGTTTTCTACTTATATTGTGTGACATGTTTTTTCTCTGCGTCTATGTTTTGGTGATATGAATATGAATTTTGAACTGAAGTGGCATCAACACCTGATACCTCCCTGTGACTATCAGAGGGACGAAGGGGAGAATTGGACTTTAATCTGAATACAGCGCTCTGTCAAACTCAAATCTGAAGAGTCTGTGGTTTCTTCAGCTCTGCCGGCTCCTGCTGAGGCGCTGGAGTTTAAAAGAAATCCTGGAGGGAAGGATTTACTCACAAACAAATTTATATGCAAAGCTGTCACACACTCTGTGGGGAGAAATTTCCGAGAAAGAGTCTTTGTCCTTTGGCCCGGAGCTGACGGCGTTTCAGAGACGACCGAACAAAGGCGGGAGTTACATGAGACAGAAGGAAATCATTCACACTGAAATCCGAGCAAAGTCAAACAATATAAAGTCAGAGGGTTTTCTCTTGTTAAAAGAGGCAGTTATTAAGCTTTATTTAAAGCTGATTGGGATATAACTGTGTGTCCAACACTCTGACAGGCTGCTACAGCCCCTCTGCTTTTGTCTTTTAAGTCTGTTATCTTATTTTATCATCTGAAGATATCACACTGTAATCTTGTGATACAACTCGTCTTATTATCCTGCGATAACAAACATATTAAGTTCTTTATTTTCTTAATCTTCAGATATCAAACATAGGTCTCGGTGTGCCTCAGGAAGCGACACTGGGCCCACTGATATTTCCTATCAGTATGTCGGAAGCAGCACTAATTTTAGCAGTTAGCCTGAGGCAGAGGCTAAATGATCAGCAGGTCCTGACCCTGAAAAGATAATATCTATTTTTGTGTGTTTACAAAATCATCAACTTTAATGATTATCTTTACTGTTGATTCGTTTTTTTAAGTTTCCAGGGCTTGAGGTGATTCTTTAAATGTCAAATATTGCAAATGTTTTGTCCGACAAACATTTTAAAACCCAAAGATGTTCAGTTTACAATCATATAAAACATAGAAAAACTGTTAATTTTCACATTGAAACCAAGAACCAGAGAATTTTTGACATTTTTGCTCAATAAATGACTAAAAATTATTAATTGTCAATATTGCAACAGATTCATTTTCTGTCATTTGACTAATCAGTTAATTGACTAATTGCTGCAGATTTTCAAAAATGCGAAGAGTAAAAAACATAATATAAATTTGTGTTACCAGTTCATGTCACTACAAACTTTGGCCTGGTGATGGTGCTAGAAATAAAGTCAGAATATCCCCAAATTTATGAGGATTCATCCTCTGGGGACCATGAATCTTTGTACAAAATTTAATGGCAATCCATCAGGTAGATGTTGGGATATTTCACCACCTGCTGGTTGTGCTAAAGGACAAGTCAGGGGATAAAGTATTTAGAAAGTATCCTCTGGGGACTGCGAATATTCAGTATACACCAACATGCATGACAATCCATTCGATAACTGTCAAGATATTTAACTCTGAACCACAGATGTTAACCTCATGGTAGCGCTAGATAAAAAGTCATGGGATCACCAAAGTCATTTGGATTCATCCTCTGGGAACCATGAATATCTGTACAAAATTACTGGCTTACGGCCTGCAGTGGCCTGCAGTCCCCACAAAACGACAGTGTAAAACATGCTGATTGTCCTGAGGGTGTTGCAAGAGATAAGGCTCTTAAAATATAAAAGATGCATCCTCTGATGA